ATCAGGATCAAGATGAAAATTTTTAACGCGCCATCAATTCCACCCCACTGCATCTGCAGCTAACTCCTCTTCAAACTACAGACGGAACTATGCTTGGTGGCACCCACAGGTTAACTTAGAATCCTCGTGCCTGCCTCTTTTAGAAGCAAAGGCTAAGACACCCATCATTCACGGACTCATCCCGGTAACCGGTCATCTTTAAAATGGTCACTGAGCGTTTCGTTCGGGCAAGCGTAAACAAACGAGTATCCAGCTTTTCTTCACTACCCACGCTCAAAGTTAAATCGACACAATCGTACTCTCAACTAATTCCCTGCCCCAGATTCGAGCTTCTCGCACGTGCACTTACAACTGGTAGGACATTAGCCTCATTCTGGCGGTTTCGTATACATACCGGCATGCGTAGAGTGCTTCACTAGGTGTCCAGATGAACACATTTCACGAGACCTCACAGCCGGAAACTGTCATCCCTGCCTTCTTGAGCCGATGGATGTCACGTTACGGATGTCAATCCTATAACTCAACCGACCGTGGAACGTCTTTCAAATCTTCACGATTCGATAGGTACTGCAACTTCTTAGGAAGCCGCCGTATTCACACGACATCATTTCACTGAGGCGAAATGGCATAATCGAACGGTTTCATCGACAGCTTAAAGCATCTCAATGTGCCAATTCAGAAGCTGACTGGAGCGAAAAGATTTCGATACTACTTCAAGGTATCCGCAGCAACATCAAAGCTGACCTGCAGTACGCACTAGCTCAGTTGGTCTAAGGCTCAATGCTTAAGCTACCAGGAAAGTTCATTTCTTTGCTCTTCATAGTGTATGCCAACATCAGGCCTCCCAGACTCCCTTGCGCAACGCGTGCGTGCGTTCGCTGTGCCCGACCAGAGATGTGCAAATGAACACTAGAATCTCTACCTGCACTCACATTTACGTCCGCACAGACGCAGTGCGACGTCCTTTTCTACACCAGTCCCTTCAGTACTTCAACGAATTTTTAAGCAGTTCACCTTGGACCAGAATGGTCACCAACTACGGTGTCCACCGACCGTCTCATGGTTGCATTTTCGACGATCTGCTTCTAATCTCACCCGTTACAGCCAAACGAGTAAACTCAACTGCAGCTGTCTTTCGCACCAGGCACGCTAGACGCCTCTGTTACCCTTGACCCACCGTCAATCCAGCCCTAAACGTCAGGCACCTGATCAACACGGTAGACAGATCAAACGCACAGTCCGCTTTCCCGATTATGTTTTTACTTGATGGACGTATTTTCTACCTTTGATGGTAATAGTTTTATTCATAAAGGTTTTGCAATACGACCAAAAACAAAACCTTTTTTATAGAAACCAAAAAAGTGTGCGCATTTTTGTTTTGTATACTTGCCTCGTTTTCCATACAGCGTCGCGCCGCCCGTCCAGACCACGTCCCACCCTCTCGAGTTTTACATCCCAGAACTCAGGCCCTTAAGAATCCGCTGAAACTTCAGGCAAACCTGCCCGAAGTCCCATCATCCTGGCTACAAGCGACCGCCACTACCGGTGCGACAACGGATAGCTTGGCCCGCAAGTTCTAGGAAACAGTGCCCCAAAAGACAAGATCTGGGATCCTTCGTGGGACGAAAATAATCATCGCCGGGGACAGAAATGTGGTGGGGATGACACCTTCCATGAGCATCATCACGACGGTAGCGGTCTTTATACTGGATTTGTAGTGACCTGGAGATTCACCGTATGACTGTGGAAATTAGTCTAAAATATATTAAAGTTATAGTTTATAGGTTAGGGAATTAGGCGGTTTTCCTGTCTGAAGGTTGTTTCCGTTTGTTTGAAACACAAATAGATCCGCTTTTGAAACGCGCTGCTTGAAACGCGAATGACGCTGGTCCATGCATTCGACCCACTGCTACACCTTCCCTAGCTAGTTTTGGTGCCCTATTTTTAGCATTAGCTAGTTTTTCTCCCGTTCAGTAAACCAGTATCCAAGCTTAAATGTTGTGTATTCTACCGATCGCCTTTGGTTTGCCGTCAAGCATCGTACCAAACATATAGCGCACGATCGACGCGCTATAGACTAACCAGTTTGTTTGCAGTCCGATGAGCCCGCTATGATGGCTCCCCGACGATGCACTCCAGTCAAGACCCAAATAATAAATAACAAAAGACTATGAAGCCTGGACCCAAAGAACTCCTCGCGCGCCCTCTTTCTTCGCTAGCGCACACTACAATTGCTACGCTACTCTCTCGTCCTCGCTTTGTCTCCCCACCTGGCGTATTTTTTGATGGTTTACCTCATTCAGCTTTCGAGGGGGAGACATCAGCAATGAATATGAATCAATTACGATTTAACCATTCAGGACATTAGATCTTATGTGTGTTTATATGTTCTGATCGTCCAATAGTTTAACTGATGGTACATACTGATCATGTGCTCCCCTCGTGCGTTACGCCGCTGCCTTTGCCTAGCTGCCTCCATTCTTTGTAGTTTTTGTCAATACACGTTGGGTCCAGTCGATCTAACTATACACCATACTTCCGTACTCGGTACGCCTCTTACGTGCTATCGCTTGCGATAACCTTCTGAGTATCACTCCACGACGCTGATACAATCCCTTATGCGACACTCGCTTTAATAATACTAAGGTATGAAATTCACTCTCCTCAAGATGCACCGTCGCCTTCTCGCACGGTGAGATGCTGCGAAAATTCCGCCTTTTTAGATAATCATCTAGAAAACTTCAGTATTATCGGATGCATCAAAATTCAGCTCCTTCGTAACTATTGTCGAACTAAGCGTTTTACAAATCTCATATTGTAGACCAACCTGCAAACATCAAGATAAAAGGCGAATGCAGTATGACTGGCTTATCGTGATCCCCAAATCATGTCCGTACTAAACTTTAAACCGCTGCCTTCGTTACACAGGTGCGTAGGCTAGCTTATCATGTCATGTCTGTCATCAGGAGGAGTGGTATTTTTGTACTGATCTTTGGTATTGGCCTAAGAACTTAGTGCACATCGCGGTGGTGGCTACAGTGTGATATTATTATTAGGCAGTAAGGTAGGAAGTACTCCGTAAATGCAGACGCGTGTAGCCGCTCCGAACCAATGCGTTTGCCATTTTTGGACCATTCTTCACCAATTTGCTGCACAGCATTGAGCTTACATCTGTTCGATCCGGATGTATTAGTGTTAAAAGGTGCATATTTATCTTCCGGATTATTCTTATCGTTTCAACATCTGATGCACGCCTGTGTTTGCGACAGATTTTGTTGCTGAAACTCAAGAGTGCAATAACTCAGTTGCAAGCACTGCATTTACGCTTTTTTACGCTTTCCTGAGACGATCAAGTCAACCAAAAATCGGTCTTCACCAATACAATTTGCAGTAACTATCTCGCATCTCCTAGTACGTTGTCGCTCGCCTATCATTTGATTGGAATTGATCGGTAACTCAAAGCCAATTGCTGTTATTTGTGACCTTGCCAACCAGAGCGCCCGCGTAAGCCATTACACCTGCCAGCGCAGCCATATATCTCGCTAGCCTGGATCATTTGACCTTGCTAACCACATCGCTCGCCTGACCGGTGTGCGCAAACTACAAGTCAGAAAAGCACACATCAACCCTCTCGCTTTGTCAAGTAACGGTACCATGCTGAGTAGCAGAAAGCAAATGGATGCGAATCCAAAAGGGCTCCAGCCGAAGGGTGCCGGTGGGTCGGGAGAATGTATTCGATCAGTAAATTAGAGTTAGTCTACTCACAATGTCCCAAATGGTACTGACAAAAGTGTGCGAATCTTTCCAAAGAAGAGATCAAACGGTTCCCAAGACGTCCTCTCTTTTGTGCTGTGGTCGACCATCCATTTAGTTAAGCGTATGCTTATTCTAGTCCAAATGTGCGACCGGTTAACATCGGAGGGTGAACAGCGAATGAACGACAAGAGTACATTAGTGGTAGCTAGTATGCGTCAGAAAAGTGCAGTGGCCTATAAGCAAAACAATGGTGCACAATTCCCTTCACCAAAACCTCGCTCGACAGCCCCATTGTTGTTATCTCCTACAATTTTGGAAGAACGCCAAGAGAAAACAGACTGGGGCTCCGCTAGTCAAGCGATGCTATGGACAGCAAAAACCAGGCATCACCTAAAGATTGTGATCGATTAAATTCCTCCTGTCTCAACAACCATCAGCGAGTCAAGTCAAAGTAAGCTTTATGTAATCAGAATCGGTAAATTTTCAGCACTGTATAATATCGACTACGGATGGCCTAAAATTGTATTAGCAGAAATGCAAATTTGTGTGAACAGATAAAGGGACACTGAGTATAGGTGTCAGTTGAATAAGCGGCCAGTATAAACGAGCAATAATTGAACAGTTACGGACAGAATAATATAAAGCTGCATTCTGTTGACAGACCAGCGTTGCAAGCTAGGTTTCCGATCGGGACGGTCCATCGTCAAGTGCACAGCATTTTGATTTTTTCTTAAAAAGTAAGAAATGGATAGCAGCAGTGACTTTGGATGAGATTTAACCAAGGTCAATGTTGAAATATTCCGAGAAAACTAATGTATCCATAACGATATTGTAAAAACCAAGTTCAGTGAAAAAAGCCTGGCCGATTTATAGGCCCGCCACAAGGATGAGATTGCCAAACTCCAGTTTTCTGCATCAGTAACTCAATGGTCGCTGGTCCCGTTCAAGTTCCCGGTAATTCAGTCACCTATGCAGAGATTACTGCCAAGGTCACTCGGAATGCCGCCCTTGCGGCTTCTTCTATAGGAAACGCCGCTAACGTAAACAAGGAGACAAGCAACAGACCAACATTACTTGGAATAAAGCCAGAACCAGCGATTATGCGACCATGTAACTCAACAAAAAGAGACCCAACGATAACGGCCTGAATGCTATGTGCACAAATGCCCCCGAATCTACCGCCATCAAGAGCAGAACCAGTGGGAACTCATAGTGCATACTTATGAATGTAAAAGACAAACCCACAAACCTAATGAGAGTTACTCGTCACCCGCACTCTAGACACAATGGCGAACAACGACTTATTAGAGTAACAACAGGATCCACCACTGGTGTAGAAAGTGTTTTACTCTCTGCAAGTGTGGTACAACACGGATCCTGCGGGATACACATCTATCCTGGCGTCTCTTGGAACAAATGACAGTAGGATACAGCAGGCAGAATTACTTGGACACCGTCTTCATCCATGGTGTGTCAGAGCTTCCTTCTGACAATAGACGAGAGAAAAGAAAGCATGAGTTGGAACAGTGCGGTTCATTCGTCAAACTTCTCGGATAACGTCGTCGTTCGATCGATTAAAAAGCTATAACTCTCAGGAAATTATAGAGAATGCAGTCTAAAGTTCCTAAACGCGTTGTTCAATCAGAGCAAACGCAACGAAAGTGTTAGAACGGTGTCGGATAAATAGGAAAAACCATCCATCTGAACTTCGGTAAAATGCTGTAAAACTTTACAAAGACCAGATACCAGGTTATCTGATAAAGCAAACCAACCTGCGATTAAATAGCAGCTTCAATTTACCGATAGTTCACCCGATTCTGCATTAAGCCAGGACTAGGGTATAGGACGTAACTGGGTTAACTTAAGCTGCTGACGATGTGCTTATATCCCAATATAAACGAATAACGGGAAATCTCAATTGATTCCCTTAGCCCCCGTGGGTTTTTAGAGAACGAGAAACTATCTTGCCCTTATACCATTCCCCAAGGCCTTTGTAATAAGCTGGTCAGTCTGAAAGATGGCCAAATTTCTAAGCAAGGCGATAGCACCGGTGTCACGGAGATATGGTTACACGCTGGAATGACGGACGCTGAAGTCCCGCTGCCCGACATGTCATTCATCCACAAGTACAGGCTTACAGGCTTAACGAAGCGACTTACAGTGCGAGACCGTGGGGGGTTCAGACTAGCAGTTCCCCGATTCGCATTGGTGCCGCCTGCAATTAAGAAGCAAAGACACTTGCTTTATAGCTTTGGTGTACTGTCCCCCGACTGGTAAACCTAAAGTGAACGGCCATATTCCGACAGCTTTTAGATGATATCTAAAAGTAAATCACACACATCCTTATCATGGGCGATTTCATCATACAACCTTAAAAAAACCCTGCTATGATCGGGAAACAATTCAAAGCCGATCTGCAAGAGCTCGTAACGTGTTCCACTTTAAAATCACCACATTTTGCCCACTCTTCAGTACAGATCACAGACCATCTGTGCTTGCCAACGAGGAACATATGATTTATGTATTGGTTGTAAACTGCCCGTGGGGTTGCACTGATCAAGCGGTCAAGAGTTGCAACTTCTTCTGTTATGCGGAAAATCGTCATGAGAATCCCGAGATGGTGCGGACGATTACATGCTAAGACCGCTAATCCCAGTTTGTCAGTGTCAAAACCTGGTCGTTCCGCGCCGAAGACCCACAGAAAGTCACCTGGCTGGAATTCATCAGCAATTTCCCTTAACTGGTTAAAAATGCCCTAGAAACAAGGGTTTGTTATAGACCTAAAGACGGTTTCTTTCGTAAGGAAAAGAACCCGAAAAGAAATGTTAGTACGCAACGCCAGATATTTAGAACAACTACGTATCCCAACGTAACTGCTGCACAAACTGATCAAAGAACGCAAAGCTGCATATCAGCAGAACATGGCGAAAATTTTCAGCGCTAATCACGAAGTCTGTGGCACAGAGGTATAAGCAAGTCAAAGACCTCCTCAAGGTAAGGTAGTGTCTCTTAAACCGTATAGTCATTGTGCAATAAGCATGAGATTTTTAGTTCCAACAGAACTGCTGACTGTGGAATGTTTGCCACTTTGATGAGAGCCCCATTAGTGGGTGTTGCGTATTCCCCTCACACTTTCAGGCATGTCATGCTACGTGTACTCGTCACTGACAAACGCGTGCGTACACGTACAGCACCAGCTGTCCCGTTTCACTCCTATATGTATTGAGGCTAGGAGGACATGACCGAAAAAGGTACACTGCTACTTCGCACACAGTGGTTCTACTTGCACAGATAATAGTCGCTCGGAGTGCAGTTATGTAAAAGACATCTATCATTCTGCAGGTGCGTTGATTCCTGCTAGGTATAAAAAGTTAACTATTGGTTGTAAAGAAACTATACAACAAAACTTAGATGTAAAACCCAATGCCAACTCAAGGCATATCATAACTTAAATCAAGCCGGAAACGCACTTTTATGTACCCCTGAATTTTCAATTGTTACACACATGCCGTCGACATGAGAAAAATATTAATGCAAAGACGATAAACTTGCACTGAAAGAAAAATACGTTCAATGAACCATAAAAACCCATTGGTAAATTTACCGGTTAGTTCCTGGATCACAGTGTTCGGGACAAGTAAGAGTCTTGCTAGACACGGAATGATCGACAAGCCGCACGCCAGCCTGCGGACATGTATTGTCATGTACTTTAATCTCCTCTATGAAGTAGGATGCAGTTAGACAGTACACTATGCGGAGCGGAGCTGATATCGGTATTTACGAAGCAAATCATAAATAAATTCGTTCACTTTCTCAGGGTAGCAGCAAATGGTCATAAACAGAGAGGACGATGCAGGCGATGCAGATTAACTTGTAGAAGCGAGTGGTGGGTAGGTAAAATAAAAAACGAGTGAATCAAACAGTTGAAGAGAAAATACCTAGAATACTCAAGGCGCTATAACAAGTTTTGTAACGTACTCAGAGCATTTGAAAACTCGGTGTTTTTGGCCCGAACACGCTGCATATCACAACGCGTTTCGAACTCATTTGAGCTCATCATGTGCGCGTCGCAATCCAGTCAAACAATGAGTACTACAGAATGACCATCTAATAAAACAGTACACGGTTCAGTTCGGCTGAACAAGTATGATCCGAGCACCGAAGTGAATCCAGTTCTCATGAGTCATATCGCCAAAACAAACAATAGCTAATAATGGCAAGAAAATGGGCTTGAATGCAAATGGAATGTAAAGAAAATGCAATAAAAAGTAGGTGCGTTACACTAAACAAGATGAGATAAAAATTAAGGGCTACACGCAAGAAATCGAATGCAAGAACGCCACTGACAGCGCGACTGCGCCACGTCTGATAGAGTATCTAACCACAGATATGGACCATCCAGCGCCTCCAGCCACCATCAGCCTGACCAAGTCTCTCGGTCAGTTTCTTCATGCGTTTATGCCACGTCCTCCACTAGCCATCTCGCGGTTTCGCCCAACTTGGTGCAGCCAAGGCATATGATGCACGCCGAGAAACAACAATGAGCAATAATTTATCGCGGGTAAAAAAGCAGGTGCTTGATAAGTCCCGCTGGATGGTTGGAAAGATAACAAAATATTTAAAACAGAAGATTATCGTCAGTTTATGTGCCTACCGATTCAACTAAATTGCTGCATACCGATAGGTGGAAATGGGAATTGAATGTGCGCACACCAAGTAATATGGTGTCATGTAGGCCATTGTGGAACAATCGCAGGCCAAGTAACACAATATACTTCCATGATTTGTCTAGCTAACTCGGATACATATAGGAATGAGACGAAATGGAAGCAGCCAATCGTGTACGCGTACGTGTGATGCGCGCACGCAGCATGGTGTGTCTAAGCGGGTAAGCTGAATACACAACCTCTCCCGCCTAGTCATGCAAAGCATTAAATCCTCATTGATCGGGTGGTCATGACCTACGGTCTGACCTGCGTAGTGCTGTGCTGTTCGTAGTTACACCAGGTCGGGAACTAAAACCAGATGCGCCCGCTTGCTGTGCGACAACTTCCAACTGTTAACTGTCAGGCCATTTATCGATTCCGATAACATGGGCTGCCCTTTTGAAAATGAATTTCAGTTGACACGTAAGAATGCTCCGGGTTGCAGCGGAGTAGCAAACTTCCAATAGGTGGTTCGATATCTTCGGCGATGTTGTAACTCGTCAGTACTGTCATATCCGTAAGTGTGAAGTGCGGCATTCAAATTTGTCCGCAGTGGATGCCCAAGCATGAGTTCCACCAAGGTTCTGTCCGCGGCTCGGTGATGGGCGGCTTCGTAGAAAAATAGTGCTTGTAAAATTGCATATTCCTAAGCTGTGCCAGACAGACGAATAACTTGGATGTTCTCTCAACAACCGGTTGAAACATTCGACCATGCCGTTTGTTGCTGGACTGGATGGTGCAATAGGTGAGTTTCGGATGGCTTGGGGTTGTAAAAAGGGATGAAACACGGCTTGTAAACTGCGGGCCGTTGTTCGTCGCTTCAGGTAAACCGAAAGGATAAAATATGTATTTCGGCCATCAGATAATACTCGCAGATGTCAATTATCAGCACAAGTGAAACGCAGACTATTTACCATAAAAGCACGTTGCAACTAAACAGTGCTATTGGTGCTGCGGCGCTGAACTGATTGGGTTCAGGACATCCACAGCCTACGGTCGCATAAGATAGTCGATGGGCTGCATAAGTGCAAACTGGCCTTGAACTTGATTTCTGAGATATTTGAACAATCGGTTGGTTTATTTGGTTGGCAACGTTTCGCTTTTGACACAAAAACTTCGTCAAAAGCGAAATGTTGCCAATCAAATAAACTAACCGATTCAGATGGAAATTGGGTGTTGCCCGCCCGAAAACGCCGCACAACCACGACACGTTTCGATGTCACTTCATCTCATCAAGTGGAGATAGCAGGCCTCGAACCCGCAACCATTGGAATAGTAGCCGAAACCTCTACTCCTTTGATTACCGGAAGCAACTGATTGTTCACAAATCTCACAGAAATCATGACTTCTCGATCGGTTCTAAGTATATTCCAAGAGTTCGAATATAAAGATGGTCTTGAACTTGTCTGCTCTTCGGCAAGAAAAGCCCTCATGAACCAGTTTTTCTAATTCGTGTAACATTCTGGGTCACTAGAAAGATAACTCCACTTTACGTTTTGTACGAATAATGCAATGGTGGCCTTCGTAGGCACACAGCATGACTTCTTGCAGTAGTCTCTGGAGGGTAAGAAATCTGAAGCCACGCACCAAAGATCTATCTAAGAATGGCAGTTCGTGACGTACCACGTAGTACGGACGGGGATCCCTTGCTATTTTCCCATTATGTGACCAACCGTTTAGCAAAACGTTTGGACGCTGCAGAGTGTAGCATCTTCTATAGTCGCATTCTAGAGCTCATCATAAGCCACGGCTGAGATTCCCTCGCCATTTAAAGAAGATA